GCCTGTAGTAAAGAGTGAGGCCTGAGGTAGATTACCCCTCCCATCGAATATGCTAGTTTCCTGCTTACCGCGTAAACAACCCGCTCAACAATATAGTCTGCCTGGCAACTGATGATGTTAGCCAATCAGCTTGCCTTGCTTACTTTAACATGATTGGACACTGTACCCGTATATATACTGGTGCCACCCCTGGGAGGAAGTAGAAGCCAGATAGAAGCCCGGAAGTAGAAGCCCAGAAGGAGCTGCGGAGAGCGGACCGATAGAGGCTTCGGGGCAGACTGAAGCACAAGAGGAGCCGCGGAGAGCGGACCAAAGGAGGCTTCAGCTGGGAGAACCCAGGGCAGGCTGTACGGAGAAGAAAAATAAAAAGAAAAGGTTGTCCACTACCAGACTATGTCGTGTGTCCTTCCTGCCGGCCGGGAGCGGACATCGACAAAACATAAATTCTGTTCATTCATTTTCTTATGTTTTTATGGCCCGAAAAGCAAAACACAATTTAATATTTCAAAAAATTGCCTGTCATACCAGCTTTTCATGATTCAAAACAATGCCTCTATAAAAGTGTTTTGTACCTTACCACAGCGTCTGATGTATGCTTTGTTTCCTGTCAGCCAATAATCAGTTCTTGTAGTCACGTTGGCAGTTTTTTCAAGGTATTTATTATTCTGGAGCAACTCGCCAAGGAAAGGCGAGAACAACTGCTGGTGGTATCCGAGGCACAGAGCACAGAATTGACAAATGGAAAAAAGGCTACACACCTGCTGCCTGGGTGACTTGGCAAGTTGCTTTATAACCCTGAGCTCGAGGGTCCTTAAAATTTAATAATAATCATAATGCTGTTGGTAATAATACTACTATATGCCATAAAACCAGTACAAATATCAAGTAAGTAGATGTATATTAAATCACCTCTTTAAAAATGTAATACTAAGTTGAGCTATTATTTGTGTGCAATTTAATGCTATATATCTTAAATGTAAACATTTTAATCTTTTGGAAGCTCAAAACATGATGGTTTTTTTTGTGATTCTGAGTAAAGCTTACATGTATTTGGAATATACTAAAAATCACTGGGTTGGGTTAATAACCCGAGTGGCGATGACTTAGCTGACTGGGTGGTACGTATGAGCACTAAGAATCATTATTTAGGGCCAGTGATGTAACTCAGTTGCACAGTGCCTGCTTGGCAAGTGTGAGACCCTGAGTTTGATTCCTGGCACAAAAATAAAAGAATCATTATTACTTAGAATGTTCTTATGCTTCCCTGAATTGAAGATTTGGATGTCTGGCTCTCTCTTTGATTCTCAGCTTTTAATAATCAAAGTGAAGCCTTTCAAATTTGAGACCAGACAGACCTGGGCTTAAATTTGATCTCTGACTCCTTTTAACCCTCAGTTTACATCTATAAAATGGAGATTATGGTTGTTCTTAATGCAGGTTTGTTGTGACAATAAAAAAAATATAAATAGTGACATTGTTAATAAAAATATCCATTATTGTTGTGAGCATATTAAGCAGCACATGATCATTTCTTTGTCCAGCTCACTAATAGGTGAAAAAGTGGAGGGCAGAGAGGTCATGGCCTAAGTTCTCCCTTGCTTGAGTCCATATTTTCCCCAGCAGATTAATACTGCTTAGCACTGTGGGCTGTGGACTGCTAAGATTCCTCAGGTTATTTATTAAACAGAATCTCTTTGCTCTGCTAGATTCTGAAAAAAAAAATGTGAGAAATAGAACAGACAATGAAATTAAAGGTTAAAATATTATCTAAAATTTTGATGAAGCAAAGTAGAAAAATATACTTGATAAGAAAATCAAATACATCAACTAAATTAACTCCAAAATGGAAAAGTGGGATACCCCAATCTAGGCAGCGCTGGACTACGGCAGCAGGGAAGCCTAACTAAATCAGATAACCGTACAAAATCAGCTAATGCCATTCCTAATCTCAGCATAGACTGCTACTTGAGAGTGGCCTGGACTTTGGAAGCAGTATGTTAGGATAGATGTAGACTCTATGGAAGATCACCAAACTTGATTGTTTAACTGGACTTTGGGTGTTGATTCCCATCGAAAAGTGCCACCAGACGTGGTGAGTATATTCTTTAGAGAGAATCTTGAAATGCTTTTCAGAATCCAGGAACCAAACAGAAAATGGTAAGTGGTTAGCCATGGGGTGCCTCATTCATGTGGAAGAATTACAAGTAAGAGGTTCCTGGTAAGCTTCCAAGAAACTCTTACAGCGCTCAATCAGAAAGAGTGTTTGAACATTTGCCACACTCAGAACGAACTCATGGCAGATTATGATCACACCCTACAAGAAAAGCCTTTCTTGCCCCCATCTCTCTTTGTTCTCCCACTTCAGCGTTAGAGAAAGAGAAAATCAAACAGGGAAAACGGCAAGGAAATCAGCACCATCTGTACTTCCCCACTGCAGAATCTCCTGTTGAAAGATAGGAGAACACTTCAAAGTAAATGAAACATTGATGCTTTCATATAAATCTGAATTTTTTAACACTGGGAGATGAAGCTATTTTTTTTATTATTCAAAATACAGAGAACAAGCCAGAAAATTCAGCCAGAGATGAAGAAATAGGTTTCTAAAAAGAAGGTTGGAAAAGAATTAACTAGAAAGACCTGCTTTTCTACAATTTTCTTTTGTTTCTTGGTGCTATTTTAATTTTTAAATTGACATATAATTGTATGTATTTATTGTGTATAGCATGATTTTGAAGGTTACATAACTAATCTTGGCTAGTTAACATATGCATTGACTCACCTAATTATCATTTTGGTCATAAAAACATTTGTTTACTCTCTTAGCTTTTTCAAAGTACACTGTATTGCTACTAATTCCAGTCACCATGATGAACGGTAAATCTGTTGAACAGATTTCCCTAGGTAAATTAAATTTTGTATCATTTGATGGAAGTCTCCTGCATCCTCACTGTCACAGCCTCAGCCCTGGGTAACAACCATCCTATTCTCCGCCTAAATAAGTGCAGCTGCTTTACCTTCCATATAGGAAGAAGACCGCGTGACTTTCTTGTGCTTGACATGTTTGACTTTCCATAGAGTTCTACAGGTTTATCCATGCTGTCATGAATGACATTCTTTCCTTCTTTTTATGGCTAACTAGTGTTCCATTGTGTTTATATTCCACATTTTCTTTATCCAACAATCTATTGGTGGGCATGTAGGTTGATTCCAAATATTGGCTATTGTAAAGAATGTTACTCTAAACATGGAAGTGTAGATATATTTGATGAATTCATTTCATTACATATCTTCTATCTGTCTATTTATCTTTCCATATGCCAGTAGTAATATAGTGGGATTATTGGATTACATAGTAGTCCTATTTTTATTTCTGAGAAAACTTCATAATCTCACAATGGCTGTATGTAATGTTTCTGCTTTCTCTGTAAGCTTGCAACACTTACTATCTTTTGTCTGCTTTATAAGAGCCATTCTAGTAGATACATGGTGATATTTCATTGTGGTTTTAATTTGTGTTTTTCTAATGATTGGTAAGGTTAGGCATTTTTCACGTATCTCTCAGCAATTCACATATGTTCTTTTAAGAACTGTCTATGCAGATACTATTTCTATTTTTTAATTGATATGAAACTGTACATATTTATGAAATAAATGTGATATTTTGTCTTAGGCATATATTGAGTGATAAACAAATGGAGATAATTAGCACATCCATCAACTGAAACTTTTATTCTTTCATCCTTCCTTCCTTTCCTTTTATCCCAAGGGATTGAAGCCATTCCATTCTTTTTTTAATTTTAAGACAGGGTTTTCTAAAGTCACTAAACTGCCAATGCTGGGCTTGAATTTATGGTCTTCCTGCCTCAGCCTCCCAGAGTACAGAGGTTACTGGCATATATCATTGCTCCTGGCTAACGTTTATCATTTCCTTATGGTGAATACATTCAAAATCCTCTAACAATTTTAAGATATACAATAAATATCACATTAAGTGTAATAAGCCAGACACACAAAACAAATATCACATATATATGTATATGTGTATATGTGTGTGTGTATTTAGAATTTAAGAGTAAAATAGTAGTTATTTGAGGCTAAAGGGAATAGAGAGGAGTAGAGATGAGCAGTTTATCAATGGGTGTAGTGCTGCAATTAGATAGAAGGAAAAAGTCTCTGTATTCTGTTGTAGAGTAGAGAGAATATAGTTACCAGTGTAAAATCTTTGTCTTTTTACTGAAGCTACTATTTTTACTGTCAAGTTCAGTTAGTCACATATTTTTAATACTAACCCTTTATCAGATCTCAGGTTTGCAGATATTTTGTACCATTCCATATACTATCTATTGTTCTGCTGATTGTTTTCTTGGCTGTGCAAGAAAGTTTAGTCTTTAGTTTGACGCCAACTCACTTGTGTGGTTTTGGTTTTTTTGTTGGTGATTTTTTTGCCACTTGCAAAAATATGAATTAACCTGGAGGGAATTTGGCTAATTGAAATGAAACAGGCACAGAAAGAAAAAGACAAATACTACCTGGTATAACTTACATGTGATATTTTGTTTTATTTCGGGGGAGATATCAAGAATCGAACTCAGAAACTTGCACTTGCCATACAGGTACTGTGCCGCTGAGCTATGTGGTATTTTAAAGATAAGCAGAGAGCAAAACAGTAGTTTTCAGAGGCTGAGAAATGAAGGAATATTTTTCAAAGGTATGCAGGGTTAGATAGGAAAAGGAGTAAGTTCTGAATATATCTTGTAAACCATTGTCGCTCTGGTTAATAATGTAATATGTACTTGAAAATTGTTAAGAGAATAAATCTTACTCATTTTCATCACAAAGAAAAAAGTGAGACATATATGAGGTGTTAAATACATTAAAGTAACTTAATTTAAACATTGCACAATGTATATGTATATTAAAATATTGCATTTCCACTATAAGCATATAAAATTTTAATGAAGCTGAAAATAAAATAAGAAAATAAAAAAAGCATACATTACCAGGCATGGTGGTACACCTGTGTTTCCAGCATTGGGAGGCAGAGGCAGGAGGATCACTGTGAGTTAAAGGCCAGCCCAGACCTCATAGTGATCAACAGGCCAGAGGGAACCACATAGCATGACCCTGTCTCAAAAACAAAATACATCAACTAAATATACCCTTAACTCTCAACTACAATCCTGCATTATTATCTCACCAGATAAAGCTTGGTGAGAAATTTCAAATAATAACTATCTTCTTTTTCATTGACCTGAAAAAGTCATCATAAGGATCATTTTAAATATTATTGTTTTATTCTTATTGCTTTAGGTTTTAATGAATCTTTTTAATGTACTTTAAATCAATTACAAGTTACCAAAAGCTTGAGAAACACTTTTCTACATAACTACAGAAATTTCTCTTTCAAAAATGTATATGAAGTGTGATAAAGAAGTGAATAAACTTTATAAAATTATTACAATAAAAATACATTAACATTAATCCCTCCAAAATACTCCCCCTCATTTAGAACATACTTACCCACTGTTTTTGCTCTTTCTCAAGCAATTCTGAAAATTCTGTTGCTGAAGTGTCTGAAGTTGTGCTGGCATGGATGCCCAGATGCCTCAAATTCACTCAAGAAATTTATTTTTCATGACCATTTTTCCTTGCCAAACAGCCAGAAGTTTCACATGCCAGACCTGGTGAACAAGGAATAATATTCTTATGAGTTTGCTTTCCACTGGTGGCAGGTAGCAGCAGGATTGACTATACTTTTTGCCACATCTCCTAACACCAGTCACGAAAGACAACTTCTGGCACTGCTTCAAAAGTGAAAAGAATGCTAGGATAGATGTGTCTGAAGCAAGGGAGAATATGTTGAGAGGGATTAATGGAGATGTGTCTTACTATGACAATTTTTAAACTTTCACCATGTATTTTGATTACAACTTTTATGATGCTGTCTCCTTGGTGATTTAGAGAAACTTGTGGCAAAAAAAAAAAAAAAAGAAAAGAAAAAAGTACAGACTGTATTTTTTTCTCTCCAGAGCCTAACTATATAATAGATTCTTTTTAGAAGTCAGTTGAGTGAAACATTCAGAATTTGGAGAAAGACTACAGCCAGAAATCTTCCTCTGCAAAAGTAATCACTTTCCGCATGATCAAGTGGCAATCATATGTGTCACACACTTCTCTTTTCAGCACTCTGATAAGGAATATTTTATACTTTGAGTTTCAAAAGTCTGAGAAGAACTGGAGACTGTTTTGTCTGGGCAGTCACACCGCTGTCAGCTACCTTTAAGAAGGTGGACAGAGGCTTCTTCCTGTAAGCAGCCAGTATGGGCAAAGAGAATCAGCAGAATGACCTTTGCCTGCCAGGCTGCCCACAGGAGAAAGCCTCCTTCCTGCAGGCAGGTGTGGGAATAGAGACATACAGCCAGGTAAGCCCCATGCAGCCCACCTGTAGGCCACTATTGGAGGCTTTTGCTTCCTTCAGGCAGCTGTCACCCACCAGGAGAATCAGAGAAACACATCCCTGTGTGTCTGCCAGTATCGGAGGAGTCCCAGGGTAGACACACAGGCTGAGTAAGAGAAGCAGCCCCACCTCCATGCACCCCTGGCCACTTGGGAAGCCCCAGTGTAGAGGCACAGGCCTGGAGAAGCCCACCCCATGCCCTACTACCTCCTTGTAAATCTGGGGTCAGAGGAACACAGGTGCTTGTGTCATTGCCCCACACCACAGAGGGGTAACCAACATGGGAAGTGCCTAGGACCCCACAACCAGCTTGTTGGGAGGAACCCAGGAGAATATCAAGACAAAGGAGCAAAATACAATCTCAGACCTCTGTCCCATGCAGAGAAGTCTGGGAGATGCAATCATAGAAGAAAACAGAAGTCACCTGAAATCTCTGAGAGGAGAGCAACTGAAGTAAGAAAACAACTTCAGGAGACTGTAAAATTAATCAAATCAGAAATAATGTCTCAGGTAAAAGAAGAAATGAAAAACATAATGAAAGAATTGATCAGCATATCTAAAAAAGACGGAGCCAGGGACTTAGCTCAGTAGCATAAATGCCTGCCTGGCAAGCACCAGGTCATGCGTTCAATCTTGGGTCAAAAAAAAAAAAAAAGATAGAAAAGAGGAGCATAGGAAAATAAGAGAAAACTTAAATGAACAACATAGAAATTATAATGCATGAGATAGATTAAAAAAGATAAACAGGAAATTAAAAAGTCAATCAAAATCTGGCAAAATCACTTGAAAGAGACTGAAGGTAGACATTCAAACCTTGAAGATAGGATTGCAGCTAGCGATCATGAAAGGAAAGATCTTCTAAAACTAATGAAGTAAGAAATAATTCAACAGCTGCAACACTGTGAAAAGAGAAAAAACAAGAATGATAGGTATCAGTGAAGAAGCGGGGGTCAACACAAATGAACTACCAAGGTTCTTTACAGAAGTAACAGCAGAAAACTTCCTAAACATGGGAAAAGATCTAGTATGCAGATTAGTGAAGCATATAGAACTCCAACTAGTCATAACCAAAGTAAATCTACACCTGGACATATAATAAAGATCCCAGAAATTCAATACAGGAACAGAATATTAAAAGACATTAGAGAAATGAACCAGATCACCTATAAAGGAAAACCAATCAGAATCAAAGCAGACTTTTCAACATAAACCATCAAGACAAGAAGAGTTTGGAGTGAAATATTTCAAATCCTGAAAGAAAACAACTTCTAACCCAGATTGTTGTACCCTGTAAAGCTATCTTTCAAAATAGATAGAAAAATAAGATAATTCCACAATAAAAAAAAAAAACTGAAGGAATTCATGACCATCAAACCAACCCTACCAAGAATGCTAAAAGATATTCTAGAAAGAGATAAAGATGACTATAGTTCCACGAACAGCAGCCGAGGAGGATCATCAAATAGAACAGGCAATTGAATGAAGAGGGGAAGTGGAGGGCCAACAGCAGGAAGACTGCATGGCAGAGACAAACCAATGCATGCTGGTTGTAACCATTAATGTAGCTGGCCTCAGTTCAGCAATAAAAAGAAACACAGGGAGAGAGGATCAAGAAACAAGATCCATCAGTATACTGGATACAAGAAACACCTTTAACTTGAGAGGAAATTCATAGACTGAAAATCAAAGAAAAGAAAGCAATCATTCTAAGGGACAGGAGAGCAGAAAAAAAGCAAGGGTAACTTACCCATTAACTCAGAATGGGTAAGATATGGTATTTTCAACATAATGGAATGTATTATGGTAATTGTAGTTGGTTTCCTGTTATCCTGTTTTGAAGCCCTATAATGCTTGCATTCTTTTGTTTAATTGGTTTTATTATTTTGTTTTATTTTATTATGTGTGATGGTATGAACTATTTTGAAGAAAACAAGACATTATAGTAACCATTGTGTATTTCCTATTATCTGATTTTGAAGTCCTGTAATGCTTTCATTCTTAAGTTCTGATTGGTTTTAGTCTTTTCTATTATTTGATTTCATTGTGTATGAGGGTATAGACAGTTATTTTGAAAAGAAAAAGAGACATTATGGTAGCAACTCTTTATTTCCTATTGTCTTGTTTTGAAGTCCCATAATGCATTCATTCTTTTGTTTTGATTGGTTTTATACTATTTTGTTTTGTTTGATTGTATTGTGTGTAAAGGTCTGAACTACTATTTTGAAGAAAAACAAAAGACATTATGGTAGCCACTGTTGATTTCCTGTTGTCTTGTTAAGAAGTCTGTGTTGCTTGCATTGTTCTATTCTGATTTGTTTTGTTCTGTTTTGTTTTGTTTTATTCTCTTTAAAATAAATTTTTTTAAAAAAGAAGGTGGGTATGCATGGTTCATTAGCAGTCAAGCTACATAGACATCATCTTATCATTTCTTTCTCCTATAAAGTGACCTTCTTTCACCTACACACAGTGACTACAATGATGTCATTTGGGATGTAGAAGTACCTGATTCTTTTATTAATGGAGCTATTATAATGTAGCAATCATGTAAAAATGTTCATGGCATCATGAAAAATGTATTAGGAAATGTACATGCTCTCATTCTATTTCTTGTTATGACAAATAAATTATCTCAGTGCAATGAATGAAAATAAGACTTGTACAATACCTTCCACATAGCAGTTTAATCAGGCTTGTTTGTTCTCAGATGAAGGATATATTGTCACATGGCAAATGACCAAGAAATATTTGAGCTACTCAGGCAGGTTTTAACAAAAACCCTTGTATTTCAAAGCACTGGAAACTCTGTGTCTGCCTGATGACTTTGAAATTTCATGATGTGTAGCAAACTTAATGTCTCAAAAAGAACACTTGATAGGGTTCTAAAATCTATGATGATTAGCTGTACTCATCTCTCATATTGGTGATTTCAATCTTCTCTCTCTTCTTTTGTGTCAGTCTTGGAAGAGGGTTATTCATTACATTAATCGTTTCAAGTTCAAGGGAAAGTTGTTTTTGGTTGTAGTTGTATTTCTCTATTGGTTTATCTTCCATGTCATTGATTTCTGATGCTATCTTTATTATTTCTTCCATCTGCTTGCTCCATGTTTATTTTGTTTGTCTATTTTAGACTTTAATCTGGGATCTTAGATTACCAAGTAGAGAGATATTTCTTATTCTGTCCCCACCTGGCTTTCCTGAACCCCTTGTCCAGTCCTCAGACCTAGGGATACGTTTGTACAAAGCTCACACTATACCACTGAGCTAAGCTTTCAGCCCATGTTTCCTGGTTTCTAATGGGTACATTTAGAGCAATAAATTTCCCTCTCAGCATTGTTTAAAGCATGTCCCTCGATTTTTTATTATAATAAAATGTACATGATAGAAAATTTTCTATTTTAAACATTTTACTTGCACAGTTCTGTTGTAATACATTCACATTGTTACACAAACATCACTGCTACCCATCTCCAGAATTATTTATCTTCTCAAACCAAAACTGTGCACCCATCAAACTCAAACTTCTCATTCTTCTTTCCTTCATACACTGGCTATTATTGTTCTACTTTTGGTCTCTAATTTGACTATTGCACTGAAACTAGAATTGTACAATGCTTGCCTTTTTGTGTGCATGAATTATGTACTATGTATTATATATTTAGTGATTTGTCAATGGACACTTAGGTTATGTCTACCTTTTAGCTACTGTGAATTCTACCGCTAGGAATATAAGTGTAAAAATATCCATTCAAGTCCTTGCTTTCAGTTATTTTTGATATATACTCAGAAATGAAGTTGTGTAGTCATATATTAATTCTGTGTTTAATTATTTGAGGAATAGCTACACTGTTTTCCAAACTTGCTGCACCATTTAACATTTCCACCAGCAATTCATGAGGTTTAAATTTCCTCACAAACATATCTTTCCAAAGTGTTAATTTCTGTTTGTTTGTCAATAACTGTCCAGTGCGTATTGTCAAACTTTCTATCACATTGTGATTTTCATTTCTCTAATGATAAGTGATGTTCAGTGTATTTTCATGTGCCTGTTTGCCTCCCATGTGTCTTCTTTTGAGAAATGTCTACTCAAATCATTTGTCCATTTTCTGGTTTTTTTAGTTTGTTCTACACATTTTAATATAAAATATTTTTATTTTCACTGGTTTATGCAGTTTTTCATTGATATTTTCTCTGTGATCCATGAGCTTTTTAGAAAACAACTATTTCATTTTTAATAGTTTGGATATTTCCCAATACTTTTCTATCATGAATTTCTAGTTTGCATTGTATAGTTAGTGAGCACATTCTGTATGATTTTTATTTTTTTATATTTGATGAGTATTGAGGGGATAAATTATG